AGTACAGATCTATTCAGGACACATTATTTGAAATTGGCCATGAAAGATTGATTGAACTTTGACAAGTGGAAAATGAGAGGGAGAAGGGCATTCTTGGTGGAAGGGACACTATGTACATGTATTGTCTTAGGTAAACTGAGATTCAATATATACATTTATTTTTGTTATGCTTATTGTGTTCCTGCATTACAGAATACTTTTATCCAATGAGTTATAAAAGAATACCACTATGATATAGTTATCCGAAGGCTACCCAGACCATTCAGCCTTTGAATAGCATATAATCACATGGGAAAGAGTGATTACTTGAGATACAGCTCATTGGGCTGGAGTTGACTTAGATGGTGAGCTTGGAAGGCAGTGAGCTGAATAAACGGATGGTGGTATGACTATCTTAGAGTTCTGTAGGTCAGAAGTCCAGCATGGACCTCGTTAGGCTAAAATTAAGATGTCAGCAGGGCCAGGTTCCTTTTTGGAGGCTCTAGGGGAGAATCATTTCCTTATTCATATAGGTTGTTGGCAGAATTCAGTTCCTCATGGTTGCAGAACTGATGTGTCCATTTCCTTGCTGGCTGTCGGCTGTTCCCAGCTTCTAGAAACCACTCACATGCCTTGGCTCATGAACCTCTTCCTCCACCTTAAAAACCAACAACTCTTCTGCCTTCTACTATTAAGGACTCATCTGATTCCACTGGGCCCACCTGGATAATCCAGAATACTCTCCCCCTCTCAAAGTCCTCAACCTTAATCACATCTGCAAAATACCTTTTGTCATATAAAGTAACATATTTGAACGTCCCAGGATTAGAGTGTGAACATTTAGACCATTATTTGGCCTACCACATAGTGCCTTTATCTCCCCTGTACCTCTTGAAGTGTGGCCAGTGGCAGAATAGAGATCCACATATGCTCCTGTTAAGGTGTCCGTGGGTATTAGGAACAACAGTCACGACAGCAAATCTGGAGACTGGGTCCACTGAGAGAGATGATACGTTTCAGTTCTAAGTCATTAGTGAACCTAGAGTCCAATGAATATTTTTTTTTTTTTTTTCTTTTTTTTTTTTTTATCCTCACCCGAGGACATTTTTCCATTTTATGTTCAGGTAGAGTGGGAGGGAGAGAGAGGAACAGAGAGAGAGAGAGAAACATCGATGTGAAAGGAACACATCGAGTGGCTGCCACCCTCACGACCGACCAGGGCCGGGGACAAACTGCAACCGAGGTACGTGCCCTTAGCGGGAACCGAACCCGGGTCTCTCAGGACCGCAGGCCGACGCTCTAACCGCTGAGCCAAACCGGCCAGGGCTCCAATGAATATTTTGAGGTAAGAATTGTACATTGTAACTAGACATTTTCTCAACATCTACTATGCTAGCCAGTATAGAAAGCATGAAATTTAGAATGTAGCCTTTGCCCAGTAGATTCACAAATTGAATTTGTCAGACAGAGAGAAGCATCATGATAACAGTGTGAGGCATACCTGTGGGATGGGGACAGGGGTGGGGGGAGTCAAGAGTTAGGGAGGGGTGAGCCACTGCCACAGATAAATAGAATGTTAGAGCTGTCAAAAGTACCCAAGATACCATTTAGTCATGTTCTAGACTTTTTAAGAAGTTTCTTGGGAATGGAACCTACCCTTACATCTAGTTCTCTGATTTATCCCCAACATATACAATATTGTTTACTGCCTAATGGGTGTTCAGTAAATACTTGTTGACTCACTATGTGGAAACTCATGTCAGAGGGTGAATTGGTATGATTAAGATCACACAGCTGTTTTATGGTAGGACTGATCTAGAAACTAGTTTAGATTTTTCATTTTTTGTTCTATCAAATTAAGGAGGCAGCTCTTGGAAAATGAACTACTTCAACAAATGAAGCCTCTTGTATGCTGACTTTCTTTCTACCTTGCACATAGCATCTCCTCTTCCTATATAAAATATTGCTAACTAAATCTATCAGTTTAACGTCTGCACCGTGATTCAAGAGGTCTGAGTTCTTTTCTCAGTTCTTCTATTCACCTTCTTCATGACTGAGACAAATTACTTCACTTACCCAAACTCAGTTCATCTGTCATGAGAAATACTAAAGTTTCTTTCAGCTCTTAGGTTGTAAGTCTTATTAATGAATTAATAAGCTTACCCATGGGCTATATGTCTGAATATCTTTACTTCAGTGTCTTTCTTAAAGTCTGGTCAGAACATCACCTTTATCAGAATCACCTGGGGCGATTCTGCAATTGTTAAAAAAATGAATTTGGTTACTAATTGTTGATTTGGAAAGATTTCCATTGGCCGTGTTTCCCAACCCTTTTCACCTCTGTAGCCATACTACCTATAAAATAATAATTATATTTAGGTGATTTACTGGGGTAAGAAACCTTAGAGTGTCTTTTTCCCAATGCACATCTCACAGAAAACTCTGGTATAAATCATTGAGTGAGAAAAACAAGTTGCAGAAAAATATATATTTGATCCCATTTTTTCAAGACAGCCCCAAACCTCTGTATGAGTGTACTGTATATCTGCATGAATGTGTATTATATATTGTATATGATTATGTGAGTGTTATATAAGTTAGATATACAATATTATAAGAATATTGAAAGGAATATACCAGGTTGTTAGTGTAGGGAAGAGACAAGGGAAGATGAAGAATAAAATTTTTATTTTATTTTATTTTATTTATTATTATTTTTTAATCCTCACCCAAGGATATTTTCCCATTTATCTTTAGAGAGAGTGGGAGGGAGGGAGAAACAGAGAGGAGGGAGGGAGGGGGAGAGAGGGAAAGAGAGAGAGAGAGAGAGGGAGAGAAACACCGATATGAGAGAGACACATCGACTGCTTGCCTCCTACACGACCCTGACCAGGGCAGGAGGGGTGGGGGACAAACTGCAACCGAGGCACAAGCCCTTGACCAGAATGAAACTTCTGACTCATTGGTCAGGGGGCAGATGCTCTAACCACTGAACAACTGAACAAAACTGGCCAGGGCTAAACTTTTTATTTTAAAAAGTGAAAACACTGTATGTATGATATGAGTCAATTTATGTATTGTGTAAAAGAATATATTTGTATCTAAAGACATTTAAAAAATAAAATAAAAAATGCATATTCAGGGCCTTTACCTTAGATCCCTTAAAAGCAGAATCATAGGAATAGAAGTGGGGACCTGCATCTTTAACAAGTATTCCAAGTGATTCTGTAAATTTTTGCATTAGCTGCTAATGTCACTAGCTGTAAACACAGCATATTTGGCAATTTCCATCCTGCAATGCAGGCTCAGCTGATCCTCATTGTCTTGGAACATAGTAGATGCATAATAAATAGCTGCTGATTATTTGGGTCATTTGGAGGACTGGTGGAGGGTAAGAGAAGCAGATCAGTTGGGTACGATGGAGCCTAGGGGAGATGAGGAAAAAGCACCTGAGAACAATGGGCTGGGCCCTCTTGCCATTTTCAAATATTAAACAAATACTGTTTGTTAGGCGCTAAATACATGAAGAAATTTTTCTGTCTTTTTTCATTTATTTCTTCAATAACCCATTACAGACCCACAGAGGTGAAGTCAGTAGCACATGTATTCATAATTAGAATTTAAAGACTTAATTGGATTTTAAGCACTAAAGAATCAACCAGACATCAGGCTGCTGCTAATAGGATGGTGAACACAACAGATTGTTTGCTTTTTCTTATGTAGAATTTCGCTGCCTTGCCATGGACATCCCTGCCTGTTGTCACCATTAGTTGACATTCCTAGTCTGCCTAGAAGCAGCTTGTGATATACCTAACCTGGATCCTGCCAAAGACAGATTACAGCAAAATGTGATTTTTGTCCATCACCTCTAGTTAGTATTTTCACAGCAGGGAGAAAGTATTTTCCAGCTGACTTTGCATTGTACAAGCCTTCAGAAGGTCAAGGCAACTTTCAGTTATTAGGCACCTACCAAGTAAAGATAATTCTGGCTCTTTGTAGCTTCATCTGCTAAGTGCTTTTCTGTTACTGCAGAAGGAAGATGAAAGTGGGGGAGATGCTCTCAATACAGAGGTGATTTAAATTTATTAAATCATTCAAATACATTTTCTACACATATCCATTTTTTTAGTAACCTCATCCCGGGTGTTGGGGAGGGAATGAGAAAAAATCAGAGGTGTGTATTTTGCGCCCAAATGCTTGAACGTAAACAAAACGACATCTTTTTATTGTCCACTAATATTAACTTGATCTCTGGACTTGTATTCCTCCTGTCCCACAATCATTTCCGGAGAAGGAGCCATTTTGCAGATTTCAGAGGATGGGTGCAGTGGCTGAACCCTGTTTCCCAATCTTCCGCGGAGCCAATCCGGATCGGTAGCTCCGAGGCTGGTCTCCGTGATTTGGCAGCAACCTAGGGTCGGAGGGATCCGAAAACCGGAGGCTGGGGTTCCAAAGTGGGGTAAAGGGTGTGCAAAATTCGTTAGCTAGAGCTGGGCCCGTCGGACCATTGTCTGGAGACAGATGCAGAGCCTCTCGGTTCCCCGCGCCCGTCGGCTCCGTGCCGGAAGCGTGGCTGGCTGACCACTCCCTCCCCAGGTGTGGAGCCTGGGTCCCAGCTGCCTTCCCAACCTGGAGCAGTGGTGTCAGCGGGCATCTTTTTTGCCCACAAAATGCCACCTCTTCCCCAAATCACTGTCGGCCACAGGGGCCGATTTTAAGTCGATGACAACACATCAAGCCCACCTAAACGAGTTGCTGGTCAAGAGGAGATGCGGAATTTCAGTCGAGCCCAAGGGACGCGGGACGGAACGAGCTGCTCTCTGTTCCTCGCCCCCAGCTCCCTCCGCCCTTATCCAGTCGTAGCCAAAGCCCGGAGCGCGGGATCCAGATTCAGAGGAACGGGAGGGCGAGCAGGAGCGGCGCCGCTGGCCCGGAGCCCGGCGCACCGGGCATGCTCAGTGGCGCGGCCGGCTGGGTGGCCCAGCAAGCTGTACCCGGATCTGCTCGGCGGCGGCGGCGGCGGCGACGTGAGCGCGCAGGGGGGCGGCGGCCTCGCCTGGTCTCCTTCTCTGCGCCTGGGTCGGGTGGGTGACGCCGAGCGCCAGAGAGATGTCGGATTTCGACAGTAACCCGTTTGCCGACCCGGATCTCAACAACCCCTTCAAGGTGAGCGATGTCCCCAGCATCTCTCGCCGCCGCATCGCGTCGTCGTTGGTGAAAACAGACAAGTTCATTCGCGCCCACTGCGCCCACCCCTCTGCTCCTCTCTGCCGCCTAGACTGGGGCTCCGGGCCGCCATACCCCTTTTCGGGGGCTCGCCTGGACTCCCGCGCCACTCGTTGGGGGTCGGAGCGGAACCTCCTGAGCTCCGCGTCCGGCCGACCCTCCCCAGGTCCCCGACTGAGAAGCGTCGTGCCCTCATCCAGGAGTGGGCCCGCGGGCCAGGAGGGTACCTGGCCCGTCCCTCGGGAGCGGGCAGAGAGCCCCGGGCAGGTGGAGTTGTCACCTGCCCCGCAAGTGTGGCTGGCCGGGCCGGGACCCGGAGGCGGCGGGGGGAGGGAGGCTCGCCCTCCGGGGGCTCACCCTCCTTCCGGTGGGGTTGTCATGGGGACTCGAGGTGGCTGCGAAGAGCTGCGTGGGGTGATGGCAGAGTTGTGCAGGAGAGGTGAGGGCACCGACTAGAGTGCACTGCAATAAAAAAAAATAAAAAAAAAGGTTGTGTTATTTTTCAAACTTGTGTTGCGCCCAGATACCACCAGCGGCGCTGCGACCCCCTCCCTACATTTAGGCTGAGGCAGAGGGTCTGATATTAAAGTTAAAAATAAACACCTGTAAAAGAATAGTATACGTGGACGATCACCTTCCTACCTAACTACTCTTAGGAAGGTAAACGAAGGGATATTTTCCAAGCTCCTTGTGCGTCACGGGTCCACTAGGCTGAATTAGGATACAGTTTCCCATAAGAGCTTCTTTCCTTCTTGGAGACTACATTATCAACCACAGCTTCGGAAGGGCTTCAGAAATGGGCAAAGGAAGACTAAGGAGATGTGTTTAAATTAATGCAGTATCTAAATAAGTATCTCTTTAAAAGTACCCCAGGTTTCTTAATGAGCTCAGCTTAGTATTTAAAAGTTGTTTCCAAGTGTTGGTTGAAATTGTTTCTTAATTTCCCCTGGATAATGCAGTAGTAACCTTAATTCGTAGTCACACAAAATGAAATAGTAACTTCAATTTGTGGTCACCTAAGTGTCACTTTTGGCTTGTTAAGTTTACATGTCTTTTTACTCCTGGTTTTATCGCTTATTAAGAACCTTAGAAAAGGAAAAATGTCCCCATTCTGATTATTAGTCTGATAATTTGATGGAGGATTCTGTTAATTAGATGAACCTGGTTATAATTGACAACTTGACTCTATATAAACGTGTAGTAGACCCAGTCACTATTCCTTTGCCTCTAATTTCACTTAAGAAAGTTGTGTACAATTGGACTGGAACTTTCAGGTTTTTACAGATGATATGGTTGCACTTCAAGGATATCCTCCCCCCCCCAAGTGTAGTATTTAGTGTTTCATAATTCCATGTTGTGGAAAGTTGGTTTATTTAATCATAGACATTCTAAAGAGATATTTCGTAACTTGCCAAATGGGTGTTATTGTAAAATATTTTAAAGGTCTAATATTAAGAACCTGTTAGTTTTTCCTAATTCAGATAATTCATTGATGTTGTTTATTCAGTATCTGACAGTGTGGCTGTTTTCTATTTGGTCATTCCATTTCATAGCTCTATTTTATATAGCTATATTTTATATAGCTGGTTCTCTTTATTAATTTTTTCCTTTTTATTGAATTTATTGGGGTGACACTGGTTAACAAAATTATATAGGTTTCAGGTGCACAATTCACAACCCGTTGTCTGCACACTGTATTGTATGTTCACCACTCCAAGGCAAGTCGTCTTCCATCACCATTTATCCCCTCTATACCGTCCTCCACCTCCCCCTTATAGCTGGTGCTCTTGTTAGTGCATGACACTGTCGTCTTCTTAGTCCAGACTGCTCTTTTGTATCATCTAATGTTGCCATGATACTTTCCTCTTCTGCCATATGAATTTGCTGATTCTAACACCCCAAATAGTTTTAAATACTCATTCATTGTGGCATAAAATTATAAATTTTTGTTCTTTATAAATGGATGCATTTACAGGATAATTTTTATTCATGGTCATTAAAATAATTTAAGGAATGGATAATTTAGGCCTAAAGAAGACTTAATTGTACACATTTCCATGCATGTCTTTCTCTGTTTTTGTTAACAATCACAGCACAGTTCATCTGATCCTTTATCTTTCCATTTATGTTCAGCTGCCCTTCCTCTTGTCAAAGTACAGCTTTCCACCTATAGAATATTCTTTCTTCTTTCTACTTTTGCCTTCCTTCTATGTAAATGAAATTTTCGAAATAACATTTCTGGTCCTCTCTACTTAAATATACAAAATTCCTAGATTCATCTTTTTTAAAAAATTTTTTTCCCTTTATTGATATTAGAGAGAGGAAGAAGGAGAGAGAGATAGAAACATTGACGAGAGAGAACATTGACTGGCTGCCTCCTGCATGCCCCACACTGGGGATCAGGCCCACAACTTGGGCATGTGCCCTGATCGGGAATCGACCGGCAAGCTCTTGGTGCATGGGTTGATGCTCAACCACTGAGCCACACTGGCTGGGCCAGATTCATCTTTGTATTACCTTATGGTCAAATTTCTTTTTTAAAAATATGTTTTAGCACTGGCCGGTTTGGCTCAGCGGTTAGAGTGTCGGCCCGTGGACCAGAGAGTCCCGGGTTTGGTTCCCGCTAAGGGCACATACCTCGGTTGCAGATCGTCCTGGCCTCTGTTGGGGTTGTGCAGGTGGCAACCACTTGATGTGTCTCTTTCACGTCGATGTTTCTCTCTCTCTCTCTTCTCCCCTCTCTCCTTCCCTCTCTGTCTGAAGATAAGTGCACAAATGTCCTTGGGTGAGGATAAAAAATATATATATGTTTTAATTGATTTTTTTTTTTGTAAGAGAGAAAGGAAGGGAGAGATAGAAACATCTATCAGCTGCCCCTTGCATGCCCCCTACTGGGTATCGAGAGCCTGCAACCCAGGCATGTACACTGACTGGGAATCAAACTGGGACCTCTTAGTCCGTGGGACTGAGCACACTGACCAGGTGTGATCATATTTCTTTTAAAATATGTTCTTATTTTCAGTATTGTAAAATAAAGTTTATATTTTCAAAATCTGTTTTTTTTAAAATTTATATATAATTAAAAGCTACCTAATTTTCATTGCTTTTTCAGAGTTATAAATATTTCTTTTCCTTCACTTTTATGTTAGGAACACTTTTGGTCAGCATCTTCATTTGAGCCATGTCGTGAAAATAATGTCTGAGGATAATGTCTTTAGATAATGTGACTTACAGTGGTTTACTTGATTTTATTAGCTCTTGTAAAGTTATTTGCTGCATTCAGTTAATTTTTTGAGTGCCTGCTTTTCTAGTGGTTGTGATAGATTCAGTTAATGAGTTTGTGGAATTTGAATAGTTTTCATTGTGCATCATGAAACTTAGAATAACTGGAAATATGTAGTAATCTGAAAGAAAATAGGTTATTAAGTATATGGTTGTTTTTGATAATCCAGTCTTGTTATGTGATTTTAAAGCTAGAAAGGAAAAATATTTTCTGCATAGTCAGTATATTTATTGAATAATTTCTGTATGTCCTTTCAGTTATTCATTCTTTCATTCAACAGATATTGAAGAAAAATATATTTATTTATTTATTTAAAAAAAATTTTTTTTTTTATCTTCACCCGAGGACATTTTTCCATTTTTTGTTCAGATAGAGCGGGAGGGAGAGAGAGGAAGAGAGAGAGAGAGAAACATTGACGTGAAGGGACACATCGAGTGGCTGCCACCTGCACGACCAACCAGGGCCGGGGACAAACTACAACCAAGGTACGTGCCCTTAGCGGGAACCGAACCCGGGTCTCTCTGTACCGCAGGCCGACGCTCCAACCGCTGTGCCAAACCGGCCAGGGCTATTTTTAAGGATATTAGCCTAACATGGAGACAAACATGCTTGGAAAGTGAAATAAAAGGAGAGCGTTTGATAACCAGAAGAGAGATCAGTAATATAGGCTCGTATAAGTCAGTGTAAGAGTGTGAGTGAGTGCAACTTGTTCAAAGGGGGGAACAGTAAGTGGTCAGAAAATCTTCATGCCTCCTACTGTGCTTTAGTATATTAATATGCTAATTGATTGTGATAGAAAACTCATTGTAGAAATAACAGTTAATGTAATTTTTAAAATAGAAACCAAAATTTCAAAGTTGGGAAAGGAAAATCTTTAGGTGTATTTAGTGAGATCTCATTCTATGGATGAAAAAAAGCCCAGCGATACAACATTTTACATTTGGCAATCATCCTAATTTCTTCTTGATTAAAAACCATTTGACTTCCATTGCTAACTTGCAACTTGCTCATTGTTTTATATCCAGGTGTTAGGTAGTGTAGAATTGGCATTTGAACTTAGATCTTCTGATTCCCAGTCCACTGCTGATGGTACTATATTTGGTTGCATTTTGCACACCAAAATTCTTATTTTGTATTTGGTGCATTTGATCTTGGCTTTGTCACTAACCAACTGTGAGAACTTGGAAAGTTGCTTAGCCACTCTACATCTCAGTTTACTATTCTGTAAAGTAAGATAATGGTACCTTTACCTTCTCCATAGACTTGTTAATAGGATTAGATGAACGTACATTTAGCATGAAATAAGTGCTTAATGCATGATGGCTGTAATTTGATAATAATTAGTAGTAATACTAGTTCAAGAAATTGTATTTAATTATATATAACCATATTATTCTTAGCTTGTTAATTTGGTGAAGTTCATGTTTCTTTTGACTCTTTTAGATAGCTAGTAGTAGCTTTTTGGTTGGTCATAGTTGAGGAATTAAGGCCAAAAATAAGTGGTTTGCCCTGAGTCACTCTGCTAGCCTAGATCCAGGTTGTTTGAATTGTAATGCTTTGTCACTGCATGTGCTTCCTCTCTAATTAAAGAATGCTCTTAAAACAGCACAAAGTCCATTATGTTTTGGCCTCAAAAATTCTCTATTTAAGTTAATTT